AAGGCAGACACTTAACGACTGAGCCACCCAGGCGCCCCTAAAAATAGTTTTGACCACACGGACCCTCTGACAGTCTCTTGAGGTCCCTTACACTTTGAGAACTGCTGCTGTCGGCAGACCTCTGGTGGGTGAAAAGCACACCTTTTAGAGAAGTTTATATTTGTATGTCTCCAGGCAGGTGTTTGAGGGAATCAGTATGCCGTTTTCATCACCTTTGACTGTGGACGGTAAATGAGGCTGTCACCTAGGACCACTGTCCACCTGCGGTTACTGAAGTCTTTGCCCTGATTGTGACCTCAGAGCTCCTCCCATTGGCTTTCCCTGGGGATGGGCAGCAGAACTGCCCCTGGGCCTGTGTCATTTGAAACCGCTTTCCAGGGAATTCTGATGTATTGTCCCAATAAAGAACCATGGACCCAGTCCTACTCTCCTCCCTGCAGAGATAAGAAATGGGCCCAAAGCTCGAGATGACATGGTGACAGTGAATGCTGGTGGGATGAGACACAACTTTAGGGAATCCCACTACTTTCTTTCTCTGGCCCCTCTCTTTCTTTTTCCTCCAGTGCTTCTCCTCCTGCCATCTTTGTGTCTCTCTAATCAAGATTTCGCAGTCTCCCCACCTGCACCCCATTGGTGAGTCACTCTCATCTTTGCCACCCAGAACCTATGCATCCTCTTCAGGAAACTGCACCCAGGGCCATCTCCCCACCCACTCTCAAGTTATATGCTTCTGGTGCAGTCGAACCCAGTCCCTGAGCCCAGAGGTGGACTTGTCATTCAAGGCTGATCCAAGGGGTCACATTTCCCTGGCCACTGGGGTTGGTTCAAGAGTGGGCATGCAGTCAAATCAGAGCCATTGAAATCAGTAGACTTTCACTGTGAGTTTCAGAAAGAAGGCCGATTGCCCTTTTTTTCTGCTGAGTTGGATTCAGCAGGAAGTAGAGTCTAAGCGGCTGAAGTCTTTCCTCTGAGCCCGAGAAAGTGGAGCTGGAAAGGGAGAGAAACTGAGTCCTCAGAACTTGGTCTGTGCCTCTACCAGAGCTGCCCCTACAGCCTGCCACCCTCTACTGGATATTTCAGTCATGCCAGTTATGTGAGTCACTTAATTCCTGTATAACTTCTTAGCTGTGGGAATGGGAATGTTTGGGTTGAGGTTAGATGTCTACTGTCTTTATAGCCAGAAGAACTCTTATACCGCCCCCCACCCTCTTCTAGCCTGCACCGACTGCCCACCTTATTGCGAAAGCGAAAGCTCAAGTCTTCAAATTCAGACCCATTTTAATTTTAGTCAAACAATCCACACTATTCTTCCTTAATGTGATGATATAACATCGGAAAAGGGAACATCTAGTATTTAGTGAAATGGGTAGGAATGTTGTACCTGGATCCCCAGGTGGACATCGGAAATAACCCAAAACCCACTTCTGGAGTGCATCATCGCTCCATCTCTTGCCCCCTGGCTCTGCCATAAGTGCGTCTGTAGACCTCTTAATAATTATATGCACTTAAATTAGATTAAGGCAAAATGTTAAAGAGTCCTAGTGAATTCTGATGAATCAGATTTTTATCTACTCATGATTTTGCCCAGAATTTTTTTTAACAAAATGGAAAGAAACATTTCTAGCCGGAGTGTTGGATCTGGCCAAAGAGAGCCTCTGTTGAACCTCCCCCCTCCCCCAGGTTATTAGTAAAACAGATGATATAAGCTGGAAACCTGCAGCAAAAAGGCGACATATTATCTGTAGTATTTATGAATTAAAAGCTTGGTCTATAACAATTTGTGGGGTTTTTCCCAGCTGTGGGGAAGAGGAAGGATTTTGTTTCCTGAATAATTTCCATTGACACTAATGGCAATGAAATGGTCAAGGCTCCATCTTGGGTTGTTTGTTTCCATTGCCTCTGGAGCAGGTTGCAGAACAGGCATTACTTATTTCTCAGTAATGAAATGTCTGGCTGGGCTTTATGATGATCATTTATAAACGTCCCAATTGGTTTTGTCTCTCCTCATACATAAGCACTTGGAAGTTTCCAGAAAGTTAATATTTCACTTTGTACCTAGTCTCTATTTATGAAGCTAATGAGGCCCGACCATCAGAAGAGTAAGTTAAAGTTTCCAAATGCAACTTTTACAGTTCTCTTGTGACTTGGCGGCTTAAAAAACAAAACAAAACAAAGCAAAAAAACGAGTAAGAAGTCAACTCACTGTCACTTGCAACAGATCCTTTGTTAACACTCAAATTGAGAGTCAGAAATATGACATGTAATTATGAGCTGTGCATGTCCCAACATGCCTTCCACAGAGTAAGGGTAGTTCTATCATACTGCAGTGTATATAAATTACATGTAACACCATTCATGATATAGGTAGGTGATTTCTATTATTTTTAATCCTGAATGATTTTAGGAAAGTTACAGTTACAACAAGAACAACAACAATTCTACATTTATCAAGCATGGTGTAGATTTTAATCCTTCATAAACCAAAATCGTTTAACTCGGCTTCATAACAATCTTTAAGTCTCGGGCTCCCTACTCTTTATCAGCAAGAAGCAAGAAAACCGAGGGTTGGAGGGGTCCAGGGATTGGGCCAGGGACAGAAAACTAGTGACTTGCGAGTCATAGAACTAGTTCCTAGTAA